GGGAGTCTGTAACTCAACCCCACAGAAACTGAGCCATCGGCACGCTTCTGCGCGTTTCTCCTGTTTTTCCGTTGCCGATGACTTAATTGGCAACAGGAAAGACCCACAAAGCATGCCAGTGGCTTGATTTCTCTGAGGTTAAGTTAAACCTTCTATCTTTCTTGGGTGACAATGATCAAAATTTTATTGCAGTGTTTGATAAACAAAAACATATACTTCTAAAAACAAACAATGTGGAAATAATCCGGCACGTGGTCAGGAGAAAGTGCCAATTTTCTGGTTTTGAGTATTGGTGCAGTGAACACTAATTAAAGCATCAAAATGTTGGGGTTTTTAATAGCATTACCTACTTTTCGGACTACTTAGTATTACTTACATGAAAGGATGAAAAGAAAAAAAGTGTTTTTGGGCTTGTATTGGGGTGCGTTAACATTGGTGGAATTGACATGTAGTGTATATCAAATTAATGGCGAGTAATTGTATCTCAACAGTGAACAATACTTTATTAAGATATAAGCTTAGAGTAGGTTTAAACATATCGGAAAACAGTGCAATCCCAAATATCCCGTAAAAATTGGACTGAAGATTTAGTGGTATATTCATTAGTACTGTGTTCAGGAGCCATTAGTTTTATAAGAACCGGGAGCCCTCTGTGCGTATGGACTGTTAAAACGAAGCCAGCGACGTCTTGTTAACTTCTATACCTCACGTTACGCTGCATCTATTTAAAAGTGGGCAACAAAAAATATGGGTCGCTTTGACACAGACATAACAATCAGACTCGCACAGCGAGGAGTTGTGTGCAGCTGTCACCTTGAACACTCTCCCTTGAATAGCCTCGGTGAAGTAGAAAAATTAACCAAAACACACAAACAATCAAAAACAACAAAAAACTAACGAAAAAAAAAGAGATTTTTAGCACTGCTGCCTCTGAAAAATCTCAAGCTTCACCAGTCGGTATTGATAGATTGTGCAGAATAAAGAATATGAATTGAAAATTAATTTGGCTCAATTCGTGTGACATGTGTAAGATCTAGCAGTCTTTTCTGTAACAAAAACGAGTAGAAAAATTAATGATTTGTTTTTGTAAGAGTTGGTAAGATTATTCGGGATCGTTGTCAAGCTATTCAAAGAATTGCATTCGAAACAATTTGACGTTTCGAGAAACTCAAGTTTTTACGCCAAACTTCTAAAAACTAGGTACCGGGCAGATAAAACTTCGTAATTCTAGTGTAGCAATATATCAGTAAATAACCAAAGCCAAATTTGCAGCATATTTTGAACTATCATACACAAACAAGAAATACTGGTTTCATACATGTATTTCATGGCATGCGTATTGTTGTCTGTCTATTTAGTTTTCAGAGAAGAAAAATTGAATTATTGTTATATCGCTATGAATAAGAAAGTTATCCCAAAAAGGCGCGTTTTCTAGCATTTTGAATAACAAGAATGCTCGTTGTCGATGAGTTATTTTTTTTCAGTGCTCTTACTTTGCTTTGACCGCTGTTCCCTGCAAAAAGGACGCCAAGCTCTTTTTTGCAATGCCCTCCTTTCGAAATCCAACAAAATCCACAACAAGAGGGGCCAAAAAAATGCAGGCCACACCCATCACAAGAGCAGGAACCAAGATGCGCCAAAAGAAGCTGCGAGTCTCACTCATATTTACGACAGTAACCGTCAGTGCCCTGAAAGCAGAATGTATGATATAACATGCATGAGGGAGCTATTTCTTGTGTCCTGTAGGTGAAAGAAGACGGGTAATAAAAAAAAACGTTTCCATTGTCTCACTCATATGTATTGCGATATAAGTTAGTGCCAGTGCCCTGAAAGTAAAACTTAAACAAGGTGTATGAGCGACCTTTAGTTATTTTATCCTGGTGCTGAAAGAAGGTTTAGTTTATCTCTTGTCTCACTCATGTTTGGGAAAATTTGGGTAATGATTTATTGTTCTCTTGTCTCACTCATATTTGTGATAGTTAGCATCAGTGACCTGAAAGCATGATCGTAAATGTCGTGCATGACCATTTTATTTAATCTTTTCTAGCGTCGAAAGAAGAGTTGGCTAATCTCATCTGTGGAGCAGAAGTTACGCGCTTCGCCATCGCACCAGTTCGATTACTGAGTAAGGATAATTTTTAGCGAGTATCTGAGTTTTCTGCTGAGTCTGAGACGCTGTATCCTTTTCAGCCCGTGTTGACCCTGACAGGCATGATGGAAGCCCGCCTCCTTAAATTATAATCTAAATTGTGTGGATGAGGGCGTACAAACACTTACATTGAAATAATACAAAAATTTCGGATGTGCCTTCTACGATTTTAATGTATATTTTCTACCATAGCTTCGTGTATGAAGTCCTTAATTTTTCCTCCTGATCATTCTTCAGATTTTCTCTTGTGCTTAAAATTGGTAATTTACGACAACAGAGAAACGTCCTTTTAGTTTTTGTGTCATCAAAAGATCTTCAGTGAAACCCTGATAACACGAGCTTCACAGGACCAGAAAAAGTTAGACATGATGAACTATTCAAAACTTTGGTAAAGCTGGATGTGAATGAAAAGAATTTAGCAACAATTTAAGAATTGCAATAAGACCAAAATGAGGAAGAGTATAGCGAATATATAGAAGTTAAAAGAGGAGTAAGTCAAGATTGTGTTGGTGTGTCACCGGATCTCTCATATTCAACCAAGAAACAGTCTTCAGAAATAAAGAAGTAAAGGCAAAAAGATCAAACAAATTCAAATGTTTGAATAGCCTACTTACGATATAATATGATGGCATCTGATGGCAAATGTACAACAGAAATAAAATAAAGAATTGTAATATTGATATACAGTTTCAATACAAAGAGCCCAATCCTGAAAAATAGAAATATCTGTTCCCCCCCCCCCCCCCCAAATTACTTCATGCTTTGAGGGAAGGGGGGGGGGGGGGGTTCAGAACACCCGAGCAGAGAAAATGAGTGAGGAACCATGATTGCCGGTCTGTTTCAGACCTGACACTTGAAGTTGTAGCAGAGGTAAAAGAGAAAAAGTAACATAATATTATTATGGTGTTTCTTATTTTGTCCTCACTGTCTCTGTCTGTCTGTCTATTTACAAAGACATTTAACCCCTCCCCCTATATAATATTAGGCCTATATTTATACCAACATAATTGAGAACAGATACATGAAGACACAATAATATTATATTCACATGTACATGCATACACTTACACACACGTAGATAAACACACACACACACACACACACACACACACACACACACACACACACACACACACACACACACACACACACACACACACATGCACACACACACAAACGCACACACACACACACACACACACGCACACACAACACTGGCGCACGACACCAGCAAACACCCCAGACAAGCAAATACAGAAAGTTAGAGCAAAACTAAAGTACAGGTACTTACCGAATCAAAGTGTCCTGGCCAATATCACAGGGCAACTGTTTGTCCTCAAAACATTTAGTTAAGAAAAACCAAAACTATGTTATAGTCCAAAATACACGTATACACTTTACTTCTCTGCAATATAATGTATACGGACCACAACACAATCTCCTTTCACACTTTCATGTCAAGGTTATTCAGTAACGTTCGCTTTATCTAAGCTGGGCCTACAAATGCAAAGATCGATCAAATTTCTCAGTCAACCGAGCAAACCTCTTGTTCGGTTAAATAAAGGGAAACGGATTCTTGTTTCGAAACGATAGCTTTCTTCGAACGACGTCGCTTCTGCGGAGTTAACCCATGCGAAAGCAGCGAGTGGATTCTAGTGATATGAAGATTCGCCAGAAATGTCTAACATTTTCAGTTGGATCTGCCTTAATCCTAAACCCTTCTCGAGCATTTATGTGCTGAGTGTGGAATGGCAGTGCATACTGAAGTCCAGCTCCTAGACGGGATCGTGATTGTACCGCAGCCTTGCGGGAACACTACAGCGTCGATGCAATCCACTATTTTTTTCCAACTTTTCAAACACGCTTTGTTCATTGAAAAAAACATCAACAACAACGAAGCTCATTTTCTACACCAACACGTCAACCGACCTCACAGATCATAGCCTATTTGGTTCGTAAAGCAAACCCAAATCAGAATTCCAACTAAGTTACCAATTGTACTTACCAATCAAAATGAGTATCCCTACCACCCAAAATCCAGGAGTCTAGAGCAGGCCTAAGCCTATTCCAGTGACCATCACCCCTTTAGATCGTGCAATGGACTTGTCTCTGCGCAAAAAATAAAACGTCAACGGTGTTGATGAACCAGGCTGTCTACACTGTTTCAAAGATAAACATAATATTTACGTGGCTTACATGCGCACATTCTCAGCATTTGAATTTGTTGTTTGCTAGTTCTCTAGAGTGGCTGTTTCTGGGAGGTTTGAATGGACATATGAGCTTTGAATATAATTGCTGTCGTCGGAAAATAGAAGGCAAAAGAGGCAGGTAGACCAGTTACAACCTGTTCGAAGAACTTGAAACAGTATAGGACGTCCAAGCTGGGAAATGAATTTCGAGAAATGAAGGCGATGTTTGCTTCAGATCTGCAACTTGATGATGATGATGATGATGATGATGATGATGATGATGATGATGATGATGATGATGATGATGATGATGATGACGACGACGATGATGATGATGGTGATGATGATGACGATGACATACTATTATCTTCCTGGAGCTGAAAGTAGATACTCCACAAGAAACGACACGGAGAAAATACGACACAGAAACGTAAAAAGTAAAATGCGTTGTTGTTATATGAGTGCATTTGTGAGGCAGCGCGGTGGAATCAGGCTCTTGTCCAAATAATCAAAGTGAAGAAACTTGCATTTCTTTTTCGGGTTTGTGAATTTTTATCAAATTTTTGTTTTTGGGCTCAACACCTGTCATGCCCATTAAAGAACTCATTTCTGTGTAAATTTTTCTGCAAAACGTTGATTAAAGGCACAAAAGATGTAAATTGTCAGTTACCACGGACTCTTAAGCTATGGAAATAAGTAATCTTTGACGGCCATTTTCTCACTAATTTTACCTCTGCAAACAGGTGACCCCTACCTCCTTCATTCTCAAATATCTCGACTTGTATTTAAGATAAACGGATATTTTTTCATCCAAATAAAGACAAGTGAACAAGCTTTAAGTAAGATGATACCAATAACTCGATGTGCTCAAAAATTGACGAGAGCCTGATTCCACCACGATGCCTCACATTTGGTTTCGGGTTTTATAAGAGGTTGGGGGGGGGGGGATTTGGAGAGGGATTGGGTTGGAGCGTTGCGGGACCTTTGCTGAAACATCGTTAAATGATTTCCTGAGCAATTTGACACCCTTGCATTCGGATTCAGTTGCTGCTGTACACACTGCCTTTGACACTGCCTGGGCACTATTGAGAGAAGAAAAAAACAGAATAAAAACAATACTCACTAGGTCCGATCGAGCTAAGTGGGAGGAGAGCCTTGGAATTTCTCAAAATAAACCACGTTCGCGCTTCTTTTAACACTCTCTAAGTTATTTCCAGAGAAAACCCCAGAAAAAAAACATATTTGAGTAGGAGGACAGCCTTGGATAACTCTCAAAAGCTACCGTACCCACATTCAAGGATTTCCCCTTGGACATGCGAACATGGACTTTCTTCTCTGTAGTCAAACTGAGAGAATGGTCTGCCTCGATGCGTCAAGCTCACTTCTTTTTTAAATAGGTATTTTACGCACCACCGACTTAATTTAGATGATTTAGGAGGCAGGCTTCCGACACTGCCTGTCAGGGCCAAACTGGACTGAGAGATGCAACATCAAAGCAGATATATTGAGATACTCGATAAAATTTTCCCCCACTCGAGAATCGAACTTGGGCCCCTTTCGTGCGACAGCGGAGCACCTAACCACCACACCACAGACACCAGTTCGCAGCTTCTGACGAGGCCTAACTAGCCTAGCCTAAACGCATCGCTGGGGCGAGCTGCACTTCTCAAGCGTTATGCACGGTGCACACTGCCAATCGGATTCCTCTGATTGAGTCATGGTAGGCCAGATTTTACTTTATGGATGGGACGATACAATAGCTATAATTTGGCAACTCTACTTGAAACACATTCAACTACATTCGACAGTGAACTTCAAAATCAAGATGTTTGCTTTTCAACGTCGCCAGTCGAATCGGTCCTAAACTGTTGGTTTTGCCCATAGAGTTATCTCCTTTTAAACTAGAGTCCGTACGAGGTCACGTGACACGGAAACATTTTAGTTTGTTGGCGGCCATATTTCAGTGGGCGAAAATGTTTGTTTACATGTGAGTGGGCGTGTCTCTGCTCTTACGTGTTTTATTTGATTCTTACCTTATGTTTTAGCCCAAAGTGATTCTCTTAAAAGTGCAAGCATGTGAAACTGTAGATCTAGTCCCTTTCTGGATTAACGTCTTTTTGAACTTTGATTAGAAATCACAGTT